TACCTAGGCTTCATTGTAAGCAAGGACGGAGCAAAATCCGACCCTCAAAAGGTAAAAGCCATTCGAAAATACCCTGAACCCAAAAATGTGTACAGTGTCAGATCTTTCATATGTAACGAACACACTCTATGAGCGTTGTCCACCCTAACACCTCTGTCTACGCTTTGACCGGCCTGCTCAGGGAGATGGGTGTGGGTTTGTGTTAAGATGAAACAAGAGTGTCACAGAACTAACAATAGTAGACAGAGAGACGGTAACGATAAGGATTTTTAACCCATCGGCTAAGATTCGGACGAGAGACTGTCCCTATCGAAGACGGAGGCCCAGATGTTATTGGCCACCCTACCTGTGAAGTCTCATTAGACTCCACCCTTAAAACAACCGCTGCGCTACATCCTCTAAGGTGCCCTCAAAAGATCACAAATTAATTCATCTTAAATTTCATTTAATACGGCAAATACGATAATATGGCTCATGGTTCTTAATACTACAAATCCTAACACTAAAGCCTTAAGACTAAGCGTTCTTTACGCCAAAAGACTCTCTATATGATCGAGTGTCAGTACAAGATTATCAAATAGGAAAAGAAATGGATATTTTGTTTACGTTAAATTATCACGAAACTGATTACATATTTTATCGATATGCGGCAAGCTTATTAAAAAATTACATGAAATCACTTAGGCGGATTACGTTAAATTATATAAGTGCAAACGATTCTTATTTAATATTTATATCAACACGCGAATGTGGAAAAATTACATGTATATATTGGTACCAAAAGTGCGCGGGCTCAGACAAGAATGAATATATATGTAGGAATGTAAATGATTTACGGCTATGCCGTACTTACGAACTCTCCAACGAAGTCAGCAGGCCTGATGACGATCGATGTGCGCTGTAGGATAATTTAATAGGTGTATATATGTCATACTATGTCGTAAGCACACACGCAAGTATAATAGCTAAATAGGAATCGTAAATTAAATTAGAAACTCGTCGTACAAATATTTAGAATAAGAAAATTAAACTACAATCGCTTTAGCGATACAAAAACGAGTTGGCAGTCCCGGCCAAAATTAATTGGAAACCAGAATTGGAACTCAAATTCCAATTGGGATGCGGTGTCCGCCCCCGCTGTCGTGCCTGAATTACGCCGAATCGGCGCCGGTGCGTTTTTCGCCCGAACTGCAACGTGATCTGACTTGTAGATCGTCGTGCGGACTTGGCAAGGTCAAAACCTCACGCGGGTTGACTGCGGCGATCCTTGAAGCCGCTTATGGTTTGCCGATGATGAAATTAATCCAGGTGTGGCAAAGAAGACAGATTCCTTTCACGCGGTGTGCGGTATTAGAATCCCCAAATGGCGATTATGGCCTGGCGCTGAAGAAATGTATGGTTCCGCTGATGAATCGCTGCACGCGGCACCTGCTCCTTGCTGTGCGCAGAGGGAGGACTGTAAAACTTCTGTCAATTCCGAGAATTTGCACGTGTCTCTGGTCACTGCTGTTTTCCGGGAATTACATTAATCGTCGAATAATCTTACCACCAATATTGGGAGTGATAACAGGTCGTACTGCTCAACCAAAATTCCTACAGTTTCACACGCGGATGTGTGGATGCGAACGGGTTTGAAAATTATAGCACTTTTTGCAGGGAACGAACCGATCTCGGAAGAAGCTTGCGACAAAGAGGAGGAAATCATGGCGTCTAGAGTGGATGTAGGATGCCCAAAATCCCCAAAATCCATAAAACTGGTATTCTTGGTATTCTAGCGAGGATCGGATCCTTGCTACTGAAGGGTTGCGTCTGGGCTATCTATGTTAATTACCATGGGTAATGTCTTAACTAGGAATGCCAACTTAGCCGAAAATACTGACTCCCACACATAGGACTTGCAAGTTACTACAGGGTTTTTATTAAGGACCTTGCCGCTATAGCTCGGCCAATAACATATATACTAAAAGGCGAAAATGGTTCGGTCAGTAAACACATGTCAAAAAAATCTTTGTCGAGTTCAATGAAACGCAACGTAATGCGTTCGAGCGACTTCGCAACATTTTGGCATCAGAAGATGTTGTACTTATGTACCCAGATTTTAAAAAGCCTTTTGACCTTACTACTGATGCCTCGGCTAGCGGCATTGGCGCGATACTATCTCAAGAGGGTAGACCAATAACAATGATTTCCCGTACACTAAAACAGGCAGAGTTAAACTTTGCAACTAATGAAAGAGAATTGTTAGCAATTGTTTGGGCTTTGGGAACATTTCAGAATTTTCTGTATGGGGCCAGGGAAATTAACATTTTCACTGATCACCAGCCGCTCACATTCGCGGTAGCTGACAAGAAACATACATAGACCAGCACAATGCCAAAGTTTTCTACAAACCAGGCAAAGAAAATATTGTTGCTGATGCCTTGTCCAGACAAAATCTTAACGCTCTGCAAGATGAGCCTAAGTCGGACGCTGCGACCGTTCACAGCGAAATCTCTCTGACCTACACAATCGAGGCTACCGACAAACCACTAAGCCGGTTTAGGAACCAGATTGTTCTTGAAGAAGCACGTTTCCCGTTAAATCGGAATCTGGTGATGTTTCGCAGCAAAACTCGTCATTTTATCAATTTCACCGACAAAGGCAGCATTTTAAATTCTCTTAAAGAGCACGTGAACACAGACGTCGTTAACGCTGTGCACTGCGACCTGCCTAATTTAGCAAGTTTTCAGCACGAGCTAATCTCCCACTTCCCGAACACCCAATTTCGGTACTGCAAAAATTTCGTGCAAGATAAAACTGATAAAAATGATCAGATAGAGCTTATCACAGCTGAGCACAATCGTGCGCACAAAGCGGTAAAGGAAAATGTGAAACAAGTCCTTCGCGACTATTATTTTCCTAATATGAACAAGGTAGCCAAGGAAGTGGTTACAAACTGCCGAGTCTGTACCAAAGCAAATTATGACAGGCACCCTAAAAGACAAGAGCTCGGGGTAACACCTATCCCAAGTTGCACCGGCGAAAAGTTGCACATTGATATCTTTTTGACCGATTGGCAGAAATCGCTAGATGTTTAAAGCTGGACAAGAAAGTCAATGATACGGTAGAGCTAATCCTGAGGGCTACGGTGAAAAAGCAACCGTAAAAGACGTCGATACAGACCATCTAAGAACCCTTGTGTCCGTTCTCAAAATACACCATAGAGTTGCTAAAAGCTTAGACTTCTTGGGTACTGCACTAAATGTGGTTGCAGGCACACCTGATGCAGCAGATTTCTTGAAGATCAGAATCACCGAGGCGCAACTAGTAGATTCCAATTCTAGACAGATTGCCATAAATTCCGAAACTCAGAAACAGATAAACAAACTAACGGACACCATCAACAATATTATAAAAGCCCGTAAGAACGATTTGGTTGACACCCCACATCTATTCAAAGCACTTTTGGTAAGAAATAGGATGCTAAGCACAGAAATTCAAAATTTAATTCTCACTATTACTTTGGCAAAATACTATTCTACTATTCTTGATCACGCTGATTTGAAATCACTAATCGAACAAGACATTCCAATAGTTAGTTTGATAGAAGTTTCCAAAATAAGAGTCCTTCAGTCCGAAAACATAATTCATATATTAATAGCCTTTCCAAAAGTCAAGTATAATATTGCACAATGTATAACTCTAGTTATCAATAAGCTTTCCTGAGTAATGCTGATGCGCCACATTCGAGTTCAGCGCTCTGCGCTAAGAACGACCAACAGTGATATGCTGACACTTCATATTCGAAGTGGAGTGCTGCGCTGTATGGAATGCTGAGTCGGTGATGCATTGCTGCTTGGCTTTAAGGTTCCTATTGTAAACTCTGATTGTCAGTCTTGTACGAACAATACGACAATACACTTGTCTGAATAAATTACATACTCCGGCAAAGCCGTTAAAATATATCTTTTATTATTGACTGAGCTTAAGGCCAGCTATAGCGGTAAAGTTTACCGCCAACCTAATCGTCGTTCCAGCACCTGGTCTAGGACGAGATACATCAGGAGAAGCAGCAGGACACAGAGCTGTACAGCGCAGACGCAGGACTACGCGGGAAAAACCCTCCGATCTTTATCTTATATAATCTTGATCAGGATCATCGCAAATATGAACGCTGATATCTCGGAAACTATCAAAGATAGAGAATTGGGACTTCAGATTAAAGATTCAGTAGCCTTGTGGGCAGCGCAAGTTTGTTTCGCAAATATGCCACGCCCACAAGCCGCCTAAACCTGTAGCGCCCATAATTTTCATCCTCTCTGGCATATGGATATAACCAAGACGTTAAGTGTGACCGCATACTAACAAAATACCACATGTACCATTTCTTATTTTAATCATTTCACAATAAGTATAAATTGGTATAATAGACGACCCCAAACTTTTCCAAAATTCCATTAATTGTTTTTACAATATTCTTTTATTTGTAATTTCTCTGTTATAAATTTTGACAAAGTGGTTTTAAAATGTGCTGTTCACGATCCCAAGGCATACCAGGAAATACCTACAAGCCCTTTAATACCCGTTACTCGCAGAGTAAAAGGGTATAGTAGATTCGTCGGAAAGTATGTAACAGGTAGAAGGAATCTGTTTCGAACCCATAAAGTATATATATTCTTCATCAGGATCACCAGCCGAGTCGATCTAGCCATGTCCGTCTGCCTGTCCGTCGGATGAACTCTGCAATTTCGGAAACAGTACGAGCTAGGATATTAGGATTTGGCATGCAGATTCTTGAGCTTCTTGAGCAGCGCAAGTTTGTTTCAGCAGGGTGCCACGCCCACTCTAACGCACACAAGCCGCCCAAAACTGTGGCTCCCACAGTTTCGAAGCAAGAATAAACATTTTAACTGAAATGTATTGTTCTCATCAATACCCGATGGACCCAAAAAAAAGTTTGCCACGCCCCTTTAACGCCCACAAACTTCAAAAATCGGAAGTATGAACTCGGATATCTCGGAAACTATCAAATATAGAGAATTGGGACTTCAGATTAAAGATTCAGTAGCCTTGTGCGCAGCGCAAGTTTGTTTCGCAAATATGCCACGCCCACAAGCCGCCTAAACCTGTAGCGCCCATAATTTTCATCCTCTCTGGCATATGGATATAACCAAGACGTTAAGTGTGACCGCATTCTAACAAAATACCACATGTACCATTCTTATTTCAACATTTTACAATAAGTATAAATTGGTACAATAGACGACCCCAACTGCTCCAAAATTCTATTAATTTTTTTTACAATATTCTTTTTTTGCAATTTCTCTGTTATAAGTTTTGACATAGTGGTTTCTAAATGTGCTATTCACGATCCCAAGGCATACCAGCAAATACCTGCAAGCCCTTTTATACCCGTTACTCGCAGATAAAAATGGTATACTAGATTCGTCGGAAAGTATGTAACAGGTAGAAGGAATCTGTTTCAACCCCATAAAGTATATATATTCTTAATCTGGATCACCAGCCGAGTCGATTTAGCCATGTCCGTCGGATTAACGCTGCAGTCTCGGAAACTATAAGAGCTAGGATATTGGGATTTGGCTTGCAGATTCCTGAGCTTCTTGAGCAGCGCAAGTTTGTTTCAGCAGGGTGCCACGCCCACTCTAACGCACACAAGCCGCCCAAAACTGTGGCTCCCACAGTTTCGAAGCTAGAATAAACATTTTAACTGAAATGTATTGTTCTCATCAATACCCGATGGACCCAAAAAAAAAGTTTGCCACGCCCCTTTAACGCCCACAAACTTCAAAAATCGGAAGTATGAACGCGGATATCTCGGAAACTATCAAAGATAGAGAATTGGGACTTCAGATTAAAGATTCAGTAGCCTTGTGCGCAGCGCAAGTTTGTTTCGCAAATATGCCACGCCCACAAGCCGCCTAAACCTGTAGCGCCCATAATTTTCATCCTCTCTGGCATATGGATATAACCAAGACGTTAAGTGTGACCGCATACTAACAAAATACCACATGTACGATTCTTATTTCAACATTTTACAATAAGTATAAATTGGTACAATAGACGACCCCAAACTGCTCCAAAATTCTATTAATTTTTTTTACAATATTCTTTTTTTGCAATTTCTCTGTTATAAATTTTGACAAAGTGGTTTTTAAATGTGCTATTCACGATCCCAAGGCATACCAGCAAATACCTGTAAGCCCTTTTATACCCGTTACTCGCAGATAAAAATGGTATACTAGATTCGTCGGAAAGTATGTAACAGCTAGAAGGAATCTGTTTCAACCCCATAAGGTATATATATTCTTAATCAGGATCACCAGCCGAGTCGATCTAGCCATGTCCGTCGGATTAAGGCTGCAGTCTCGGAAACTATAAGAGCTAGGATATTGGGATTTGGCTTGCAGATTCCTGAGCTTCTTGAGCAGCGCAAGTTTGTTTCAGCAGGGTGCCACGCCCACTCTAACGCACACAAGCCGCCCAAAACTGTGGCTCCCACAGTTTCGATGCTAGAATAAACATTTTAACTGAAATGTATTGTTCTCATCAATACCCGATAGACCCAAAAAAAAGTTTGAGTCGAGCCGAGTCGATCTAGCCATGTCCGTCGGATCAACGCTGCAATCTCGGAAACTATAAGAGCTAGAATATTGGGATTTATCATGCAGATTCCAGAGCTTCTTGCGCAGCGCCATAAAAAATAAAAATAACAAGGAAGAACGCTATAGTCGAGTACCTCGACTATCAGATACCCGTTACTCAAAGGGAAATGGAGATTTGTAAGCAGCAAAGCGAGATTAAAATGCGCCACCTACCGGCGGTAGACAGATTTAAGCGTTATGGGCGTTAGAGTGGGCGTGGAAAATTTATTTTTGGATCAATCGATAGGTATTGACGACACCAATACATTTCAGTTAATATTTTTTATTTGGCATGCAAATTGTGGGCGTCACAGGTTTTCGCGGTTTGTGGGCGTTTAAGTGGGCGTGGCAAACTTTTTTTTATTGATGAGAACAATACATTTCAGTTAAAATTTTCTATCTAGCATCAAAACTGAAGGAGTTACAGTTTCGGGCGGTTTGTGGGCGTTAGAGTGGGCGTGGCGTTCTACTGAAATAAACTTGCGCTGCGTAAGAAGCTCAGGAATCTTCACACCAAATTTCAATACCCTAGCTCTCATAGTTTCCGAGATCTCAGCGTTCATCCGGACAGACAGACGGACAGACGGACAGACGGACATGGCTAGATCGACTCGGCTAGTGATCCTGATCAAGAATATATATACTTTATGGGGTCGGAAACGCTTCCTTCTGCCTGTTACATACTTTCCGACGAATCTAGTTTACCTTTTTACTCTACGAGTAACGGGTATAATAAAAACAAGGAAGAACGCTATAGTCGAGTACCTCGACTATCAGATACCCGTTACTCAAAGGGAAATGGAGATATGCAAGCAGCAAAGCGAGATTAAAATGCGCCACCTACCGGCGGTAGACAGATTTAAGCGTTATAGGCGTTAGAGTGGGCGTGGAATTTATTTTTGGATCAATCGATAGGTATTGACGACACCAATACATTTCAGTTAAAATTTCTTATCTAGCATGCAAATTGTGGGCGTCACAGGCTTTCGCGGTTTGTGGGCGTTTAAGTGGGCGTGGCAAACTTTTTTTTAGGTCAATCGATAGGTATTGTTGAGAACAATACATTTCAGTTAAAATTTTCTATCTAGCATCAAAACTGTAGGAGCCACAGTTTTGGGCGGTTTGTGGGCGTTAGAGTGGGCGTGGCAGTCTACTGAAACAAACTTGCGCTGCGTAGGAAGATCAGGAATCTGCACGCCAAATCTCAGTAGCCTAGCTCCCATAGTTTCCGAGATTACAGCGTTCATCCGGACAGACGGACATGGCTAGATCGACTCGGCTAGTGATCCTGATCAAGAATATATATACTTTATGGGGTCAGAAACGCTTCCATCTGCCTGTTACATACTTTCCGACGAATCTAGTATACCCTTTTACTCTACGAGTAACGGGTATAAAAAGTACAGATGAAATATGACGCCAAATCCAAGCTTATGCCCTTTATTGTGGGATTTAACCGACAGGAAGCAATTCCGCAAAAGGGTCAAATTCGCAAAATAGGTGAAGTGCTGTTGGAGATCCACTAGAGAATCCCAGTGGGAAGGAACATGCCGAGTGGGACTCAAATCTCTACATGGACATCCTGCCGGGCGCGTCCTCGAAAAGAAAGTAAGATCTGGCCAAAAGAATTTGGTTGCGTTTTACTAATAGAAGTATCTTTTTAGCAGAACCACCAGTAATACGATCTCCGACGACCTCTCCATTAGGACTCCGGACATCACCACCACCAGCTACTTGGCAGCTTAGGCGGAGCTGGGGGACCCTCTGGCTTCTATAGGGAGGAGGAAAATAGGGCGCCCGCTAAGGAACAATTGGTATACTAGATTCGTCAGAAAGTATGTAACAGGTAGAAGGAATCTGTTTCGAACCCATAAAGTATATATATTCTTAATCAGGATCACCAGCCGAGTCGATCTAGCCATGTCCGTCTGCCTGTCCGTCGGATGAACTCTGCAATTTCGGAAACAGTACGAGCTAGGATATTGGGATTTGGCATGCAGATTCTTGAGGTTCTTGAGCAGCGCAAGTTTGTTTCAGCAGGGTGCCACGCCCACTCTAACGCACACAAGCCGCCCAAAACTGTGGCTCCCACAGTTTCGAAGCTAGAATAAACATTTTAACTGAAATGTATTGTTCTCATCAATACCCGATGGACCCAAAAAAAAGTTTGAGTCGAGCCGAGTCGATCTAGCCATGTCCGTCGGATTAACGCTGCAGTCTCGGAAACTATAAGAGCTAGGATATTGGGATTTGGCTTGCAGATTCCTGAGCTTCTTGAGCAGCGCAAGTTTGTTTCAGCAGGGTGCCACGCCCACTCTAACGCACACAAGCCGCCCAAAACTGTGGCTCCCACAGTTTCGAAGCTAGAATAAACATTTTAACTGAAATGTATTGTTCTCATCAATACCCGATGGACCCAAAAAAAAAGTTTGCCACGCCCCTTTAACGCCCACAAACTTCAAAAATCGGAAGTATGAACGCGGATATCTCGGAAACTATCAAAGATAGAGAATTGGGACTTCAGATTAAAGATTCAGTAGCCTTGTGCGCAGCGCAAGTTTGTTTCGCAAATATGCCACGCCCACAAGCCGCCTAAACCTGTAGCGCCCATAATTTTCATCCTCTCTGGAATATGGATATAACCAAGACGTTAAGTGTGACCGCATTCTAACAAAATACCACATGTACGATTCTTATTTCAACATTTTACAATAAGTATAAATTGGTACAATAGACGATCCTAAACTGCTCCAAAATTCTTTTAATTATACCCGTTACTCGTAGAGTAAAAGGGTATACTAGATTCGTCGGAAAGTATGTAACAGGCAGAAGGAAGCGTTTCCGACCCCATAAAGTATATATATTCTTGATCAGGATCACTAGCCGAGTCGATCTAGCCATGTCCGTCTGTCTGTCCGGATGAACGCTGAGATCTCGGAAACTATGAGAGCTAGGCTATTGAGATTTGGCGTACAGATTCCTGAGCTTCTTACGCAGCGCAAGTTTATTTCAGTAGACTGCCACGCCCACTCTAACGCCCACAAACCGCCCAAAACTGTAACTCCTACAGTTTTGATGCTAGATAGAAAATTTTAACTGAAATGTATTGTTCTCATCAATACCTATCGATTGAATTAAAAAAAAGTTTGCCACGCCCACTTAAACGCCCACAAACCGCGAAAACCTGTGACGCCCACAATTTGCATGCTAGATAAAAAATTTTAACTGAAATGTATTGGTGTCGTCAATACCTATCGATTAATCCAAAAATAAATAAAAATAAATAAAACTCTAACGCCCATAACGCTTAAATCTGTCTACCGCCGGTAGGTGGCGCATTTTAATCTCGCTTTGCTGCTTACAAATCTCCATTTCCCTTTGAGTAACGGGTATCTGATAGTCGAGGTACTCGACTATAGCGTTCTTCCTTGTTTTTATTTAAATTTTTTTGTGTACCAGCAGACTCCTCCTTTTTAAATTTCTCCAATTGATTTCTTTTCCGTTTGGCAACAAACCCAGCTGCTTGACAGTAAAACCATGCTATATGCATTGCGGGTGAACTTTGAAAACTTCGGTCACACTACAAAGAATAAGATTTTTCGACTAGTGAAACTCTTAGCCGATCTGAGTACTAGGCTTTAACGATCCCAAGGCATACCAGCAAATACCTGCAAACCCTTTTATACCCGTTACTCGCAGTTTCGATGCTAGAATAAACATTTTAACTGAAATGTATTGTTCTCATCAATACCCGATGGACCCAAAAAAAAAGTTTGCCACGCCCCTTTAACGCCCACAAACTTCAAAAATCGGAAGTATGAACGCGGATATCTCGGAAACTATCAAAGATAGAGAATTGGGACTTCAGATTAAAGATTCAGTAGCCTTGTGCGCAGCGCAAGTTTGTTTCGCAAATATGCCACGCCCACAAGCCGCCTAAACCTGTAGCGCCCATAATTTGCATCCTCTCTGGCATATGGATATAACCAAGACGTTAAGTGTGACCGCATACTAACAAATACCACATGTACCATTCTTATTTTATCCATTTTACAATAAGTATAAATTGGTACAATAGACGACCCCAAAGTGGTTTTTAAATGTGCTATTCACGATCCCAAGGCATACCAGCAAATACCTGCAAGCCCTTTTATACCCGTTACTCGCAGATTAAAATGGTATACTAGATTCGTCGAAAAGTATGTAACAGGCAGAAGGAAGCGTTTCCGACCCCATAAAGTATATATATTCTTAATCAGGATCACCAGCCGAGTCGATCTAGGCATGTCCGGATCAACGCTGCAATCTCGGAAACTATAAGAGCTAGAATATTGGGATTTATCATGCAGATTCCAGAGCTTCTTGCGCAGCGCAATAAAAAATAAAAATAAAAACAAGGAAGAACGCTATAGTCGAGTACCTCGACTATCAGATACCCGTTACTCAAAGGGAAATGGAGATATGCAAGCAACAAAGCGAGATTAAAGTGCGCCACCTACCGGCGGTAGACAGATTTAAGCGTTATGGGCGTTAGAGTGGGCGTGGCAAATTTTTTTTTGGATTAATCGATAGGTATTGACGAGACCAATACATTTCAGTTAAAATTTTCTATCTAGCATCAAAACTGTAGGAGCCACAGTTTTGGGCGGTTTGTGGGCGTTAGAGTGGGCGTGGCAGTCTACTGAAACAAACTTGCGCTGCGTAGGAAGATCAGGAATCTGCACGCCAAATCTCAATAGCCTAGCTCCCATAGTTTCCGAGATTACAGCGTTCATCCGGACAGACGGACATGGCTAGATCGACTCGGCTAGTGATCCTGATCAAGAATATATATACTTTATGGGGTCGGAAACGCTTCCTTCTGCCTGTTACATACTTTCCGACGAATCTAGTATACCCTTTTACTCTACGAGTAACGGGTATAAAAAGTACAGATGAAATATGACGCCAAATCCAAGCTTATGCCCTTTATTGTGGGATTTAACCGACAGGAAGCAATTCCGCAAAAGGGTCAAATTCGCAAAATAGGTGAAGTGCTGTTGGAGATCCACTAGAGAATCCCAGTGGGAAGGAACATGCCGAGTGGGACTCAAATCTCTACATGGACATCCTGCCGGGCGCGTCCTCGAAAAGAAAGTAAGATCTGGCCAAAAGAATTTGGTTGCGTTTTACTAATAGAAGTATCTTTTTAGCAGAACCACCAGTAATATGATCTCCGACGACCTCTCCATTAGGACTCCGGACATCACCACCACCAGCTACTTGGCAGCTTAGGCGGAGCTGGGGGACCCTCTGGCTTCTATAGGGAGGAGGAAAATAGGGCGCCCGCTAAGGAACAATTGGTATACTAGATTCGTCGGAAAGTATGTAACAGGTAGAAGGAATCTGTTTCCATAAAGTATATATATTCTTAATCAGGATCACCAGCCGAGTCGATCTAGCCATGTCCGTCTGCCTGTCCGTCGGATGAACTCTGCAATTTCGGAAACAGTACGAGCTAGGATATTGGGATTTGGCATGCAGATTCTTGAGGTTCTTGAGCAGCGCAAGTTTGTTTCAGCAGGGTGCCACGCCCACTCTAACGCACACAAGCCGCCCAAAACTGTGGCTCCCACAGTTTCGAAGCTAGAATAAACATTTTAACTGAAATGTATTGTTCTCATCAATACCCGATGGACCCAAAAAAAAGTTTGAGTCGAGCCGAGTCGATCTAGCCATGTCCGTCGGATTAACGCTGCAGTCTCGGAAACTATAAGAGCTAGGATATTGGGATTTGGCTTGCAGATTCCTGAGCTTCTTGAGCAGCGCAAGTTTGTTTCAGCAGGGTGCCACGCCCACTCTAACGCACACAAGCCGCCCAAAACTGTGGCTCCAACAGTTTCGAAGCTAGAATAAACATTTTAACTGAAATGTATTGTTCTCATCAATACCCGATGGACCCAAAAAAAAAGTTTGCCACGCCCCTTTAACGCCCACAAACTTCAAAAATCGGAAGTATGAACGCGGATATCTCGGAAACTATTAAAGATAGAGAATTGGGACTTCAGATTAAAGATTCAGTAGCCTTGTGCGCAGCGCAAGTTTGTTTCGCAAATATGCCACGCCCACAAGCCGCCTAAACCTGTAGCGCCCATAATTTTCATCCTCTCTGGCATATGGATATAACCAAGACGTTAAGTGTGACCGCATTCTAACAAAATACCACATGTACGAGTCTTATTTCAACATTTTACAATAAGTATAAATTGGTACAATAGACGACCCCAAACTGCTCCAAAATTCTTTTAATTATACCCGTTACTCGTAGAGTAAAAGGGTATACTAGATTCGTCGGAAAGTATGTAACAGGCAGAAGGAAGCGTTTCCGACCCCATAAAGTATATATATTCTTGATCAGGATCACTAGCCGAGTCGATCTAGCCATGTCCGTCTGTCTGTCCGGATGAACGCTGAGATCTCGGAAACTATGAGAGCTAGGCTATTGAGATTTGGCGTACAGATTCCTGAGCTTCTTACGCAGCGCAAGTTTATTTCAGTAGACTGCCACGCCCACTCTAACGCCCACAAACCGCCCAAAACTGTAACTCCTACAGTTTTGATGCTAGATAGAAAATTTTAACTGAAATGTATTGTTCTCATCAATACCTATCGATTGAATTAAAAAAAAGTTTGCCACGCCCACTTAAACGCCCACAACCCGCGAAAACCTGTGACGCCCACAATTTGCATGCTAGATAAAAAATTTTAACTGAAATGTATTGGTGTCGTCAATACCTATCGATTAATCCAAAAATAAATAAAAATAAATAAAACTCTAACGCCCATAACGCTTAAATCTGTCTACCGCCGGTAGGTGGCGCATTTTAATCTCGCTTTGCTGCTTACAAATCTCCATTTCCCTTTGAGTAACGGGTATCTGATAGTCGAGGTACTCGACTATAGCGTTCTTCCTTGTTTTTATTTAAATTTTTTTGTGTACCAGCAGACTCCTCCTTTTTAAATTTCTCCAATTGATTTCTTTTCCGTTTGGCAACAAACCCAGCTGCTTGACAGTAAAACCATGCTATATGCATTGCGGGTGAACTTTGAAAACTTCGGTCACACTACAAAGAATAAGATTTTTCGACTAGTGAAACTCTTAGCCGATCTGAGTACTAGGCTTTAACGATCCCAAGGCATACCAGCAAATACCTGCAAACCCTTTTATACCCGTTACTCGCAGTTTCGATGCTAGAATAAACATTTTAACTGAAATGTATTGTTCTCATCAATACCCGATGGACCCAAAAAAAAAGTTTGCCACGCCCCTTTAACGCCCACAAACTTCAAAAATCGGAAGTATGAACGCGGATATCTCGGAAACTATCAAAGATAGAGAATTGGGACTTCAGATTAAAGATTCAGTAGCCTTGTGCGCAGCGCAAGTTTGTTTCGCAAATATGCCACGCCCACAAGCCGCCTAAACCTGTAGCGCCCATAATTTGCATCCTCTCTGGCATATGGATATAACCAAGACGTTAAGTGTGACCGCATACTAACAAATACCACATGTACCATTCTTATTTTATCCATTTTACAATAAGTATAAATTGGTACAATAGACGACCCCAAAGTGGTTTTTAAATGTGCTATTCACGATCCCAAGGCATACCAGCAAATACCTGCAAGCCCTTTTATACCCGTTACTCGCAGATTAAAATGGTATACTAGATTCGTCGAAAAGTATGTAACAGGCAGAAGGAAGCGTTTCCGACCCCATAAAGTATATATATTCTTAATCAGGATCACCAGCCGAGTCGATCTAGGCATGTCCGGATCAACGCTGCAATCTCGGAAACTATAAGAGCTAGAATATTGGGATTTATCATGCAGATTCCAGAGCTTCTTGCGCAGCGCAATAAAAAATAAAAATAAAAACAAGGAAGAACGCTATAGTCGAGTACCTCGACTATCAGATACCCGTTACTCAAAGGGAAATGGAGATATGCAAGCAACAAAGCGAGATTAAAGTGCGCCACCTACCGGCGGTAGACAGATTTAAGCGTTATGGGCGTTAGAGTGGGCGTGGCAAATTTTTTTTTGGATTAATCGATAGGTATTGACGAGACCAATACATTTCAGTTAAAATTTTCTATCTAGCATCAAAACTGTAGGAGCCACAGTTTTGGGCGGTTTGTGGGCGTTAGAGTGGGCGTGGCAGTCTACTGAAACAAACTTGCGCTGCGTAGGAAGATCAGGAATCTGCACGCCAAATCTCAATAGCCTAGCTCCCATAGTTTCCGAGATTACAGCGTTCATCCGGACAGACGGACAGACGGACAGACGGACATGGCTAGATCGACTCGGCTAGTGATCCTGATCAAGAATATATATACTTTATGGGGTCGGAAACGCTTCCTTCTGCCTGTTACATACTTTCCGACGAATCTAGTATACCCTTTTACTCTACGAGTAACGGGTATAAAAAGTACAGATGAAATATGACGCCAAATCCAAGCTTATGCCCTTTATTGTGGGATTTAACCGACAGGAAGCAATTCCGCAAAAGGGTCAAATTCGCAAAATAGGTGAAGTGCTGTTGGAGATCCACTAGAGAATCCCAGTGGGAAGGAACATGCCGAGTGGGACTCAAATCTCTACATGGACATCCTGCCGGGCGCGTCCTCGAAAAGAAAGTAAGATCTGGCCAAAAGAATTTGGTTGCGTTTTACTAATAGAAGTATCTTTTTAGCAGAACCACCAGTAATACGATCTCCGACGACCTCTCCATTAGGACTCCGGACATCACCACCACCAGCTACTTGGCAGCTTAGGCGGAGCTGGGGGACCCTCTGGCTTCTATAGGGAGGAGGAAAATAGGGCGCCCGCTAAGGAACAATTGGTATACTAGATTCGTCGGAAAGTATGTAACAGGTAGAAGGAATCTGTTTCGAACCCATAAAGTATATATATTCTTAATCAGGATCACCAGCCGAGTCGATCTAGCCATGTCCGTCTGCCTGTCCGTCGGATGAACTCTGCAATTTCGGAAACAGTACGAGCTAGGATATTGGGATTTGGCATGCAGATTCTTGAGGTTCTTGAGCAGCGCAAGTTTGTTTCAGCAGGGTGCCACGCCCACTCTAACGCACACAAGCCGCCCAAAACTGTGGCTCCCACAGTTTCGAAGCTAGAATAAACATTTTAACTGAAATGTATTGTTCTCATCAATACCCGATGGACCCAAAAAAAAGTTTGAGTCGAGCCGAGTCGATCTAGCCATGTCCGTCGGATTAACGCTGCAGTCTCGGAAACTATAAGAGCTAGGATATTGGGATTTGGCTTGCAGATTCCTGAGCTTCTTGAGCAGCGCAAGTTTGTTTCAGCAGGGTGCCACGCCCACTCTAACGCACACAAGCCGCCCAAAACTGTGGCTCCAACAGTTTCGAAGCTAGAATAAACATTTTAACTGAAATGTATTGTTCTCATCAATACCCGATGGACCCAAAAAAAAAGTTTGCCACGCCCCTTTAACGCCCACAAACTTCAAAAATCGGAAGTATGAACGCGGATATCTCGGAAACTATCAAAGATAGAGAATTGGGACTTCAGATTAAAGATTCAGTAGCCTTGTGCGCAGCGCAAGTTTGTTTCGCAAATATGCCACGCCCACAAGCCGCCTAAACCTGTAGCGCCCATAATTTTCATCCTCTCTGGCATATGGATATAACCAAGACGTTAAGTGTGACCGCATTCTAACAAAATACCACATGTACGAGTCTTATTTCAACATTTTACAATAAGTATAAATTGGTACAATAGACGACCCCAAACTGCTCCAGATTTGGCGTACAGATTCCTGAGCTTCTTACGCAGCGCAAGTTTATTTCAGTAGACTGCCACGCCCACTCTAACGCCCACAAACCGCCCAAAACTGTAACTCCTACAGTTTTGATGCTAGATAGAAAATTTTAACTGAAATGTATTGTTCTCATCAATACCTATCGATTGAATTAAAAAAAAGTTTGCCACGCCCACTTAAACGCCCACAAACCGCGAAAACCTGTGACGCCCACAACTTGCATGCTAGATAAAAAATTTTAACTGAAATGTATTGGTGTCGTCAATACCTATCGATTGAACCAAAAATAAATTTGCCACGCCCACTCTAACGCCCATAACGCTTAAATCTGTCTACCGCCGGTAGGTGGCGCATTTTAATCTCGCTTTGCTGCTTACAAATCTCCATTTCCCTTTGAGTAACGGGTATCTGATAGTCGAGGTACTCGACTATAGCGTTCTTCCTTGTTTTTATTTAAATTTTTTTGTGTACCAGCAGACTCCTCCTTTTTAAATTTCTCCAATTGATTTCTTTTCCGTTTGGCAACAAACCCAGCTGCTTGACAGTAAAACCATGCTATATGCATTGCGGGTGAACTTTGAAAACTTCGGTCACACTACAAAGAATAAGATTTTTCGACTAGTGAAACTCTTAGCCGATCTGAGTACTAGGCTTTAACGATCCCAAGGCATACCAGCAAATACCTGCAAACCCTTTTATACCCGTTACTCGCAGTTTCGATGCTAGAATAAACATTTTAACTGAAATGTATTGTTCTCATCAATACCCGATGGACCCAAAAAAAGTTTGCCACGCCCCTTTAACGCCCACAAGCTTTAAAAATCGCAAGTATGAACGCGGATATCTCGGAAACTATCAAAGATAGAGAATTGGGACTTCAGATTAAAGATTCCGTAGCCTTGTGCGCAGCGCAAGTTTGTTTCGCAAATGTGCCACGCCCACAAGCCGCCTAAACCTGTAGCGCCCATAATTTGCATCCTCTCTGGCATATGGATATAACCAAGACGTTAAGTGTGACCGCATACTAACAAATACCACATGTACCATTCTTATTTTATCCATTTTACAATAAGTATAAATTGGTACAATAGACGACCCCAAAGTGGTTTTTAAATGTGCTATTCACGATCCCAAGGCATACCAGCAAATACCTGCAAGCCCTTTTATACCCGTTACTCGCAGATTAAAATGGTATACTAGATTCGTCGGAAAGTATGTAACAGGCAGAAGGAAGCGTTTCCGACCCCATAAAGTATATATATTCTTAATCAGGATCACCAGCCGAGTCGATCTAGGCATGTCCGTCGGATCAACGCTGCAATCTCGGAAACTATAAGAGCTAGAATATTGGGATTTATCATGCAGATTCCAGAGCTTCTTGCGCAGCGCAATAAAAAATAAAAATAAAAACAAGGAAGAACGCTATAGTCGAGTACCTCGACTATCAGATACCCGTTACTCAAAGGGAAATGGAGATATGCAAGCAACAAAGCGAGATTAAAGTGCGCCACCTACCGGCGGTAGACAGATTTAAGCGTTATGGGCGTTAGAGTGGGCGTGGCAAATTTATATTTGGATCAATCGATAGGTATTGACAACACCAATACATTTCAGTTAAAATTAATCTAGCATGCAAATTGTGGGCGTCACAGGTTTTCGCGGTTTGTGGGCGTTTAAGTGGGCGTGGCAATTTTTTTTTAGGTCAATCGATAGGTATTGATGAGAACAATACATATCAGTTAAAATTTTTTATCTAGCATCAAAACTGTAGGAGTTAAAGTTTCGGCGGTTTGTGGGCGTTAGTGTGGGCGTGGCAGTCTACTGAAATAAACTTGCGCTGCGTAAGAAGCTCAGGAATCTTTACACCAAATCTCAATACCCTAGCTCTCATAGTTTCCGAGATCTCAGCGTTCATCCGGACTCGGCTAGTGATCCTGATCAAGAATATATATACTTTATGGGGTCGGAAACGCTTCCTTCTGCCTGTTACATACTATCCGACGAATCTAGTATACCTTTTTACTCTACGAGTAACGGGTATAATAAAAAAAAGTACAGATGAAATATGACGCCAAATCCAAGCTTATGCCCTTTATTGTGGGATTTAACCGACAGGAAGCAATTCCGCAAAAGGGTCAAATTCGCAAAATAGGTGAAGTGCTGTTGGAGATCCACTAGAGAATCCCAGTGGGAAGGAACATGCCGAGTGGGACTCAAATCTCTACATGGACATCCTGCCGGGCGCGTCCTCGAAAAGAAAGTAAGATCTGGCCAAAAGAATTTGGTTGCGTTGTACAAATATAAGTATCTTTTTAGCAGAACCACCAGTAATACGATCTCCGACGACCTCTCCATTAGGACTCCGGACATCACCACCACCAGCTACTTGGCAGCTTAGGCGGAGCTGGGGGACCCTCTGGCTTCTATAGGGAGGAGGAAAATAGGGCGCCCGCTAAGGAACAATTGGTATACTAGATTCGTCGGAAAGTATGTAACAGGTAGAAGGAATCTGTTTCGAACCCATAAAGTATATATATTCTTAATCAGGATCACCAGCCGAGTCGATCTAGCCATGTCCGTCGGATGAACTCTGCAATTTCGGCAACTATAAGACCTAGGATACTGGGATTTGACATGCAGATTCCTGAGCTTCTTGCGCAGCGCAAGTTTGATTCAGCAGGGTGCCACGCCCACTCTAACGCACACAAGCCGCCCAAAACTGTGGCTCGCACAGTTTCGAAGCTAGAACAAACATTTTAACTGAAATGTATTGTTCTCATCACTACCCGATGGACCCAAAAAAAGTTTTCCACGCCCCCTTTAACGCCCACAAACTTCAAAAAATCTCAAATATGAACGCGGATATCTCGGAAACTATCAAAGATGGAGAATTGGGACTTCAGATTAAAGATTCCGTAGCCTTGTGCGAAGCGCAAGTTTGTTTCCCAAATAGGCCACGCCCACAAGCCGCCTAAACCTGTAGCGCTCATAATTTTCATCCTCTCTGGCATATTGATATAGCCAAGACGTTAAGTGTGACCGCATACTAACAAAATACCATATGTACCATTTCTCATTTTAATCATTTTACAATAAGTATAAATTGGTACAATAGACGACCCCAAACTGCTCCAAAATTCTATTAATTTTTTTTACAATATTCTTTTTTTGCAATTCCTCTGTTATACATTTTGACAAAGTGGTTTTAAAATGTGCTCTTTACGATCCCAAGGCATACCAGCAAATACCTGCAAGCCCTTTTAAACCCGTTACTCGCAGAGTAAAATGGTATACTAGATTCATCGGAAAGTATGTTACAGGTAGAAGGAATTTGTTTCGAACCCATAAAGTATATATATTCTTAATCAGGATCACCAGCCGAGTCGATCTAGCCATGTCCGTCGGATGAACTCTGCAATTTCGGATACTATAAGAGCTAGGATATTGGGATTTGGCATGCAGATTCCTGAGCTTCTTGCGCAGCGCAAGTTTGATTCAACTGGGTGTCACGCCCACTCTAACGCACACAAGCCGCCCAAAACTGTGGCTCCCATAGTTTCGATGGTAGAATAAACATTTTAACTGAAATGTATTGTTCTCATCAATACCTCTCGATGGACCCAAAAAAAAAGTTTGCCACGCCCCCTTTAAAGCACACAAACTTCAAAAAATCGCAAGTATGAACGCGGATATCTCGGAAACTATCAAAGATAGAGAATTGGGACTTCAGATTAAAGATTCCGTAGCCTTGTGCGTAGCGAAAGTTTGTTTCCCAAATATGCGACGCCCACAAGCCGCCTAAACCGGCTAGTGATCCTGATCAAGAATATATATACTTTATGGGGTCGGAAACGCTTCCTTCTGCCTGTTACATACTATCCGACGAATCTAGTATACCTTTTTACTCTACGAGTAACGGGTATAATAAAAAAAAGTACAGATGAAATATGACGCCAAATCCAAGCTTATGCCCTTTATTGTGGGATTTAACCGACAGGAAGCAATTCCGCAAAAGGGTCAAATTCGCAAAATAGGTGAAGTGCTGTTGGAGATCCACTAGAGAATCCCAGTGGGAAGGAACATGCCGAGTGGGACTCAAATCTCTACATGGACATCCTGCCGGGCGCGTCCTCGAAAAGAAAGTAAGATCTGGCCAAAAGAATTTGGTTGCGTTGTACAAATATAAGTATCTTTTTAGCAGAACCACCAGTAATACGATCTCCGACGACCTCTCCATTAGGACTCCGGACATCACCACCACCAGCTACTTGGCAGCTTAGGCGGAGCTGGGGGACCCTCTGGCTTCTATAGGGAGGAAGAAAATAGGGCGCCCGCTAAGGAACAATTGGTATACTAGATTCGTCGGAAAGTATGTAACAGGTAGAAGGAATCTGTTTCGAACCCATAAAGTATATATATTCTTAATCAGGATCACCAGCCGAGTCGATCTAGCCATGTCCGTCGGATGAACTCTGCAATTTCGGCAACTATAAGACCTAGAACAAACATTTTAACTGAAGTGTATTGTTCTCATCACTACCCGATGGACCCAAAAAAAGTTTTCCACGCCCCCTTTAACGCCCACAAACTTCAAAAAATCTCAAATATGAACGCGGATATCTCGGAAACTATCAAAGATAGAGAATTGGGACTTCAGATTAAAGATTCCGTGGCCTTGTGCGCAGCGAAAGTTTGTTTCCCAAATATGCCACGCCCACAAGCCGCCTAAACCTGTAGCGCTCATAATTTTCATCCCCTCTGGCATATGGATATAGCCAAGACGTTAAGTGTGACCGCATACTAACAAAATACCATATGTACCATTTCTCATTTTAATCATTTTACAATAAGTATAAATTGGTACAATAGACGACCCCAAACTGCTCCAAAATTCTATTAATTTTTTTTACAATATTCTTTTTTTGCAATTCCTCTGTTATACATTTTGACAAAGTGGTTTTAAAATGTGCTTTTCACGATCCCAAGGCATACCAGCAAATACCTGCAAGCCCTTTTAAACCCGTTACTCGCAGAGTAAAGTGGTATACTAGATTCGTCGGAAAGTATGTAACAGGTAGAAGGAATTTGTTTCGAACCCATAAAGTATATATATTCTTAATCAGGATCACCAGCCGAGTCGATCTAGCCATGTCCGTCGGATGAACTCTGCAATTTCGGATACTATAAGAGCTACGATATTGGGATTTGGCATGCAGATTCTTGAGCTTCTTGCGCAGCGCAAGTTTGATTCAGCAGGGTGCTACGCCCACTCTAACGCACACAAGCCGCCCAAAACTGTGGCTCCTACAGTTTCGATGGTAGAATAAACATTTTAACTGAAATGTATTGCTCTTATCAATTTCTTTCGGTGGACCCAAAATAAAAGTTTGCCACGCCCCCTTTAACGCCCACAAACTTCAAAAAATCTCAAATATGAACGCGGATATCTCGGAAACTATCAAAGATGGAGAATTGGGACTTCAGATTAAAGATTCCGTAGCCTTGTGCGAAGCGCAAGTTTGTTTCCCAAATAGGCCACGCCCACAAGCCGCCTAAACCTGTAGCGATCATAATTTTCATCCTCTCTGGCATATTGATATAGCCAAGACGTTAAGTGTGACCGCATACTAACAAAATACCATATGTACCATTTCTCATTTTAATCATTTTACAATAAGTATAAATTGGTACAATAGACGACCCCAAACTGCTCCAAAATTCTATTAATTTTTTTTACAATATTCTTTTTTGCAATTCCTCTGTGTTCACGCCAAAAGGGCGTTTAATTTCAGGAGGCAGTGTCGAGCGGCAGTTTTATCCAGATTTCTATATCTCGCGCGCTCGCACTGCCGTCTGCTCTCCCTCTCCATCTCTCCCTTAAGTCTCCGCTCTGCTCTGGAGCGCTTAAGTTAAGTTAGGCTTAAGCAGTTCATGTTTCAAAGTGTGCTAATAAACACCTACGCACGTCGCGTAAAAACCCAAAACCCAGCCAGTTTTTCGAACCCTATTTCGACTAACTTTCTGTATGAGATATTGTCTAAATCCAAAAGAGATTAATCCGACGCAACGGCATTTAATATATGTATTTCAATTCCGTTACTTGTGCCCGACAATATTCCAGTTTCCTTTGCCCACAGTTGGACACTTGAAACAATTCCAGTAAATATTTCAGTGCTACTATTCAACGAAAATATTTGTCAAATATATTTTCAATTCCAATCGTGTGTAAAATATAACTCAGCCGCAGTAAAAAATTCCCGGTCATAAAATTTTTCCTTAAGATTTGCACTCTTTATTTTTTACTGTGTTCCAGCTGCGTGTGTATATTTACATAAATATTCTAATACAGTCCACTCTAACTACTCTTTCTAATACAGTCCACTCCAACTACTTTTCTCGACCTACAAATACGGCTAATCTATTTCCAATATTAAGAACAAAGTTACAAATTCCACAAATTTACTCCAGCAAATCGTTTGCAATTTAGTTGTGCAGGTGACAAACAAACGCACCGACATACAAACATAAGCGAAGTCTTTCCCATTCCCGCAACGTTATTCTGCTACTCGCAATCCACATATGTACACACATACATACGTATATCGATACCTTCGCCAGTGCACAGTGGGTCAAGAGCTCACAATAAATGTTCCTTCCAAACATACAATATTAAAGTCCGTAATTCTTTACATAAGTCCGACAATCCGATACAATAAATATTTATTGACTCTGCCTATCCTACAGTGTGACCGTATATATTTACAATCTTAATTGGTTCCTAAATTCCAATTTGATTCCAATCCGTTTCCTTACATCTGAATTAAAATTCGAAATTATTTAACGTCATGGCAACATCAGTAAAATCCGCTTTAACCCGATTTATGGCCACAGCTGACTGTCTGATCCACTTTGAGGCCACTGTGAACGCTCCAGGTGCTCCTACACCAACGTTATCCGCCTGTAACATCCGACGCGATCACCTCCATTCCTTGTGGCAATCGGTAAAGGCAGCATACGACATATGCTCCGACTGCATTATAGCTGCAGGCGAGAGCGCCGCAGACACAAAATCCATACTAAAGTCCAAGTATTACCAAACGTACTCCACTTACGAAATATTTGCCGCGCAGCTGATGGAACAAATCCAAAAGGGCTTCTCCCAAATACCTCGAGCTCCAGTAACTCCGTCCCAAAATTTCACGTCTTATGGCTGTCGGCTCCCTCCTATCGACACAGAGCTTTTCTCTGGCGATTATCTTCGCTGGCCGACTTTCCGGGACCTTTTCACGGCAATATACATAGACAATCCGAGTCTAAAGCCCGTTGAAAAATTATTCCACTTAAATTCAAAAACAAGTGGCGAAGCTCATTCCATAGTTTCAAGATCCCCACTCACCAATGATGGCTTTCGCTCAGCCTGCAATAACCTAACTGAGCGTTTCGAAAATAAGAGATTGCAGGTAAACAGTCACTTGAAAACACTTTTCAATGTGCAATCCATAGCACAGGAGTCGGGAGCAGCCTTAAAGGAACTTCAACGCACTTTTCAAGGTTGCTTAACTTCCTTAAAATTTTCCGGTGTTAATATTGAGAATTGGGACCCTATCCTGGTTTATATGTGCTCGACAAAACTACCAAAGCTCACTCTCTCATTATGGGAGCAATCCATCCAAAATAAAGCCGAAATTCCTACGTGGCTTGAGCTTGATTCATATTTGACGGAGCGCCATCTAACTCTTGAGGCCGTCGATAGCTTCCGATCTGCCAATTTCCACCACGTCCAGTCCAAAGACACAAATCGAGAGGCAGAATTTCCAAAAATAAATTCCTTCAACACAAGGTTAGTTCCGATAACCAAAGGCTGCGATCTGTGTTCGAAGAAGAACCACCCCGTGCGTATATGTCCACGCTTCCTACAGATGACGGTAGAAGATCGCTTAGCCTATATCCAAAGGAAGCAGTTGTGCTCCAATTGCTTTGCAAGTAGCCATCAATTCCGGGATTGCACAAGCGCTCACAACTGTCTCACTTGCCAAGATCGGCATCACACATTGCTGCATCGAAACAGCGGTCCTACTACTCCGACGATTCCATCCGACCCTCCAAGGCCAGTATCCGCCTCAGTTCCACACATCATTTCGTCCTATTCAACGCAAGTTTCCGTACAAAAAGTTCCTCCTAAGAATACTCCATCCGAATATTGGGTTCCATACCCCGCCTTGGATGGCAGACGTACTCGAGGTATTAAATCCTACCAATGCCGAGTCTGCCAAAAGATCCATCCTCTACGGAAGTGCCACCACTTTCTACGGCTAAGCCCCCAGAATCGGCTTCAGGAAGTACATATCCAGAAGTACTGCTCCAATTGCTTGGCTCACAATCATTCCAAGGACTCCTGCCGCAGTGGTCATCACTGCCACAAGTGTGGAAAGGCCCACCACACTCTCCTACATACGGACGACCGATCTACACTTCCAACATATTCCTGAGCCTACTAACCTGAGGTTCTTGCTACGGGTGTCCTCGCAAGGGGGGGGAGAATGTTCACGCCAAAAGGGCGTTTAATTTCAGGAGGCAGTGTCGAGCGGCAGTTTTATCCAGATTTCTATATCTCGCGCGCTCGCACTGCCGTCCGCTCTCCCTCTCCATCTCTCCCTTAAGTTAAGTTAGGCTTAAGCAGTTAATGTTTCAAAGTGTGCTAATAAACACCTACGCACGTCGCGTAAAAACCCAAAAGTACCCGCGTAATTTTATGCGTACCACTCAATCTTGGGGCTTCAATTATTTCATCGATCAAGCCGCACCGCCCCAACACTCTGTTATACATTTTGACAAAGTGGTTTTAAAATGTGCTTTTCACGATCCCAAGGCATACCAGCAAATACCTGCAAGCCCTTTTAAACCCGTTACTCGCAGAGTAAAATGGTATACTAGATTCATCGGAAAGTATGTTACAGGTAGAAGGAATTTGTTTCGAACCCATAAAGTATATATATTCTTAATCAGGATCACCAGCCGAGTCGATCTAGCCATGTCCGTCGGATGAACTCAGCAATTTCGGATACTATAAGAGCTAGGATATTGGGATTTGGCATGCAGATTCCTGAGCTTCTTGCGCAGCGCAAGTTTGTTTCAACTGGGTGTCACGCCCACTCTAACGCACACAAGCCGCCCAAAACTGTGGCTCCCATAGTTTCGATGGTAGAATAAACATTTTAACTGAAATGTATTGTTCTCATCAATACCTCTCTATGGACCCAAAAAAAAAGTTTGCCACGCCCCCTTTAAAGCACACAAACTTAAAAAAATCGCAAGTATGAACGCGGATATCTCGGAAACTATCAAAGATAGAGAATTGGGACTTCAGATTAAAGATTCCGTAGCCTTGTGCGCAGCGAAAGTTTGTTTCCCAAATATGCGACGCCCACAAGCCGCCTAAACCTGTAGCTCTCATAATTTTCATCCTCTCTGGCATATGGATATAGCTAAGACGTTAAGTTTGACCGCATACTTCAAAATACCATATGTACCATTTCTCATTTTAATCATTTTACAATAAGTATAAATTGGTACAATAGACGACCCCAAACTGCTCCAAAATTCTATTAATTTTTTTACAATATTCTTTTTTTGCAATTCCTCTGTTATACATTTTGACAAAGTGGTTTTAAAATGTGCTTTTCACGATCCCAAGGCATACCAGCAAATACCTGCAAGCCCTTTTAAACCCGTTACTCGCAGAGTAAAGTGGTGTACTAGATTCGTCGGAAAGTATGTAACAGGTAGAAGGAATTTGTTTCGAACCCATATAGTATATATATTCTTAATCAGGATCACCAGCCGAGTCAATATAGCCATGTCCGTCTGTTCGTCTGTCTGTCCGTCGGATGAACGCTGCAATCTCGGAAACTGTAAGAGCTAGGATATTGGGATTTGGCATGCAGATTCCTGAGCTTCTTGCGCAGCGCAAGTTTGTTTCAACTGGGTGTCACGCCCACTCTAACGCACACAAGCCGCCCAAAACTGTGGCTCCTACAGTTTCGATGGTAGAATAAGCATTTTAACTGAAATGTATTGCTCTTATCAATTTCTTTCGGTGGACCCAAAATAAAAGTTTGCCACGCCCCCTTTAACGCCCACAAACTTCAAAAAATCTCAAATATGAACGCGGATATCTCGGAAACTATCAAAGATAGAGAATTGAAACTTCAGATTAAAGATTCCGTAGCCTTGTGCGAAGCGCAAGTTTGTTTCCCAAATAGGCCACGCCCACAAGCCGCCTAAACCTGTAGCGCTCATAATTTTCATCCTCTCTGGCATATGGATATAGCCAAGACGTTAAGTGTGACCGCATACTAACAAAATACCATATGTACCATTTCTCATTTTAATCATTTTACAATAAGTATAAATTGGTACAATAGACGACCCC